AACTCTCAGACTGAAGAAGTCTCTTGGAGGAGAGACGAAACGTTTCATTAGAGAAGAACCCGTCCAGAAGACCTATACAATTTTTTTCTTTTTTTATACCATTTAGCATTTTGTATAGTTTTAAGCTTCAGTTTCTTTATTAGTAATTCTCTTCCGCAAGTTTCATCGGTCTTTCAGCCCAATCACTGCATTTTAACAAATTCATTTTCTCTATATTCAGAAACGTATCTAAAAAAAATACTCTTAAGCCTATTTTTTTCTAAAGTATCTGAAGTAACACTTGGAAACATTTTAGTCGCCTCCTATGATTTCGTTCAGCTGCTCGCCTGCTTTCACTAAAGTGCCCTCGAACACAGAACAGCGGCTCCGTCCCACGTCAGTTGGAACGGGTTTCGTTTGCTGGAGGAAAGAAAAGTAGAGCAGGCTCGGCTCGACCCGGCAGCTTGACCTCATGTGAGCGCAGGCAGAGAGCCGAAGGTCGAAGTTCATCATCTAAAGTGACACAGTCCTGTTTATAGACTGAGCCTGCAGAGGGAGGCCCGCTGGTTTATCTCTGTAAAGCTGAAGCAGTTTTCTGTGGCTCTRTTCAGAAGAAAACCAAGTTGCTGATTGTTTTGTTTCTGCCACAAGGTGAAAACCCACAAATGTTTTGTCTCATGTTATAAAACCCTCTAAATGAAACCCCTTCAAATGGATTTCCACCCTCATCAGAACATTTTAGCGAAGCAGCTGTAGTTGGCCTTTATGAGCAGCTAAAACTGAGCAACTTCATGGACTACAGGAACATGAAAAGACGAGGGGCTTAAGTCCTTGGAAAAGTTTTTAAAAGCTGGTGTTGTGCTGCTGAAAGGATCTGATGGGGAAGATTTTCTGATGAGAGAAACGAGCCACTTGTTGAGGCCTTTAAATCATTTTATCTTTTTAAATATCAGAGCATATTCACTGTGATGTTTTAAATTAAGACATCATGTGTGCGTGTGTGTGTGTGTGTGTGGCCTCTGGCACAGATGACAGCAGCTAAAATCACAAAGGGTTAATGATGCTGTCAGAACAACAGCGAGGGAAGCTGATGAGGAAGGAGCCACGGGGCCAACCGTTCATCCTTCCCACTCCTGCTTCTTCAAGGAATTATTTTATTCTCATTTTGTCCCCTCCTATCGTTAATATTTAACATTTTAAAAGACAGATTAATAGAGTCGCAGCAAAACCTTCTTAACCATAAAGTGGRCTCTGTAACTGTAATGATGAATTCAACTGAAGCTATACACCTTTTAGATGGAAACACATTCAGAACTCTTCCTTTTTGTTCAGAATTTGTTTGGCCGCCTATTTAATTTTATTTCTTTCAGCGCAAAAAATGAAATAAAATAAAATAAATCATGTATCCAACAGGATCTTATGTTTCTTTCTTTTGAAGGAGGAGTCAAAAGTGTTTACACTTATATGAAACTCATAAAATAAAAAAACAAACTGGCAGGAAAATGTTTTTGTTTTTGCTTGAGTGGAAATTTTAAACATATGCTGGTGTAGATTCTTAGTCATCCTGGTTATGGTCTTTATAACACATTAAACTGAAAACAACTTTGTGTTTCAATCTTGAAAGTAGTGCAATGAGATGATGCTTATTGATCTGTTCTTATTTAGGTCAAGTTATAAGATATTCAACTGACCCAATTACATCTTGTTTGTATGTTGAAACAGTATAAAGTTAGCCATTAGATCTGTCTGTTAGCATAGATCTTACATATCACACATATCTGTTCATGCTAGATATTTCCACAACAGGTAGAAACTATATCTTTTCATTTTAAATTGAGACAGCTCCTCAGGTGAGTTATCTTGTGCATTGCTCTCTGTCAGAACCAGTTCTCATCAGGGTGTGTGCCAAGTGTTCTGTGATTGGTCAGAAACTTTGTGGGCGTGTTTGTTTAGGTAAAGTAGCTGCAGTGAGTTGATCTCAAGGTAGCAAACAGCTAATTTATATGCTGACTTGTCACCAAGTAGTCGGGGGTGTTTATTGCAAAATGACAGATGGCCTTCAGAGGTTTTCTTCACCATTAAAAAAAAAGTTAAATGCAGAAAATAATTTGGTTAATGTGACCCCTAGTTGGGTTTTTTTGTGCAAAGTTTCAAAAAAAGTTTTTGTCTGATATTCAACTATTCCAAACTAGTTGTATGAAGTTATAGATCTACACCAAACAAAATATTAACACTCAGCACCGTTTATATATACAGGTGGCTGCACCCCTGTTGGTTTGGTGGTCACCTCTTCCCCATACCCGGAAACCTTGTTTGTGGTTTCAGAGTTTGACTTTTGAAAACCTAAAGGGCTGCAGTGATTCTGAACAAAATCAGAGCTGAAGAAACTTTGGCATTTCCTTCCCAAGACCTGCCTYCAATTTAACAGAAAATTCAATCTCGTAGCTTAATTTTCACTCTGATATCCAAATAAACCATTATTCAGAGAAGTTTGTGCGCCTCCTTTTGTCACGTGACTCAGGAAATTTGCGAAGGCATCACAGGAACCTAACAACAAAAAAAATGTAAATACTGAAACAAAGTATTTTTGTGGGTTAAATTGATTTTTCTTCTTTACTTTTAAGAATAAAACAAAGCAATTTAAAATTCCAGTTCAGAATTGTCCTTGCAGAGCTTTTCTACTAAACAGAGAAGAAAATGAGCCGACTACATTTAGGGGAATAAAACAAGGTGCACAAAATCTGAAAAACCTCCAGTCTCACATATCAGAAGTTTATGCGAGTTTATGAATCTACAAGTGTAKCAAAGTAAATTTAAATAAGCAAAGTTAGGCTGAAAAGACATGAAAACAAAAACCCGAAGTCGCTAAAGAATRCACCAGTCAAAAACTCCAACCAGAGTTGATAAATATGTTTATTAGTTTCTCTAGGTCCCCACTGGAGACAAACGGGCACCAGAAAGGGTTTTAAAAAAGTCTGACAAACAATCTTAGCAAATTCATCAAGAGCCATTACAGTTCATTAAAAAATCCCAGAGGAAGTGGGGTTACAAAGCAGAAAAAATAAATAAATAAAACATCTGCAACAACTTCTGTGGTGTAAAACATTTCTCTCATTATGAAACAACCTTGTTTTGGCTCCAGATTAATGAAAGCGTCATCACTTTATAACATACTCCCCCAACCCACACACACACACATCCTCGCCCTCTTTTTCCAAGGCACTTCAGTGATTTGAACTAAATAACAACCGCCTGACAAGCACAATTGCTTTATAAGACACGACGACAGCAGCCCATAACTCTAAAAAAGCAACACGGGAGGAAAATGACAAGAACAGCTTCGACATGATCAAATTATATTACCCAACCAAAATGTGACCCAGCGGGCTGCTGTTGGAGCATCTTCTTTCATACCCCTTCTGTGGGGCAGATTTCAACGAGACTGTTTGCTTTTAATAGAATAAACAGTGATCGGGGCGAGCAGAAGGCCCTCTGTCGCATCAGTCATCAGCAGAAACAGGCACTTCATATATGACTTAGATAATATTTAATGGTTGGAATCAAAATGGATCAGGAACAATTATTATTAAAAGCATAATCAGTCACAGAACAGCTTTGAGGGAGTGCAACCGTTTATGTAAACTGCTCAGTGAGAGTAGAAATGTGATATAACATACACCTGAAGGCACCATGCCTCCTAATTTATACAGCTATATATATATATATACTGTACGTATATGAAGAAAATTTTAACACAAACCATTAGAGAACTAACATGACAATATTAATACAATTTTAGTCTCTGCATAGATAAACATAACATCTTCCTCCACTTCATAAAGCTTTGGCGCACTCCAGCTGAAAACAAAATCACAACATTTTTAATGCAATAATTCTCCTGGAAGAGCTGCGGTTTAAATAGTGAAACGGTCATATCGTGGTACATTTATTCCCCTAACTGCAGCTCGACCATTTTACAAAAAAATAAAAAAAATAAAAAACATAAAAATGAAATAAAATAAAATAAAACAAAATAAAAAACGGGAGTCCTCTCAGCATCATTTCGTATTTTATTTTGAAAGGATTCTAAAGTGGAAACTACGGTCGAGGGTGAGCTCCCACAATGATTAGACTGACAAACATGAAAATAAAATAATAAAATAAAATAAAACAAAACACAGATTCCTGGCAGCAGCACATATCTCACGTAATTAGAGGGTTTTTAAGCTGCGAGACTCGAAAGAAGAACTGAAAAATGCCCAAACCTGCTCCTAATGTTCATATGTTTCCAAGAAGAATTTATTGCAGAAACCACTCTTATACGCATAAATTATCAGGCTGTTGTCTCCCTCACAGCTGAGAACATTACAGTACTGATGCACTGTGTTTATAACAGAATATCTAATTAGTCTGAAATTCAATYTGCATGAGGTTTAATTGAAATGGGSGTAGTTTAAAAAGTCTCAACATCACTCGGAAACAATCTTCATCTTTCGGCGCTCTGAACAGAACAAGACGTGTTTATAGTAGGGGTGTAAGAAAATATCGATACACTGAAATATCGCAACATTTCCCGATACTGTATCGATATTCTAAAGCCCTGTATCGATTTT